TGTTGCTGTGTATATTTCAATTAATTAAACTTAAATAAAACTTAAAGTTTAATGCCTTAGTCACAGTAGCCGTACTTTATATGCTCAGTAGCACACGTAGCTGATGGCTAGCACACTGAGGAGCATAGGTATTAAACCACCTTTGTAAAAAGTTCTACTGGATGATGCTGGCTCTAAAGAGTCTATCCAGGTTGGGCTAAGCATCAAGGCAATGTTCATGAATAACTGGTTAATTTAGCTAAGGTCCACATCAAAACTAATCCTCTTTCTACTTTTTTATTTTTTCTTTTATTATATAGAATCTGAGTCTTATCAAAACTCTGTTGCCCCAAATTCTGTGCCCCTTTCAAGCTGTTAGAATATTTTTGATCACTGTTTATACCAGTGCATGTAATTGCTTTCAGAGAGAGTCTATGAAGGAGGCCGTCCTTGGTTTCTCTGATCGAGTTTCTGAATTCTATCATTAGCCTCAACATCTCTGCAATTATCCATATCTGGTTATTAGCATGTTATTTCTACACTCTTCCTCCACCTCCACATCTCTGAACTGGAAGCTGGGTGACTGGGAGATTTCAAAGTGATCATTCTTTTAGTAGCAGCTGGTCCTTAACTGCCCTGGGTTTGTGACAGAGGGGAACAGGATCTCTATCCATTGCTGCTTCTTCCTAATTACATTCCTAATAGATGGCAAATTTGGGGATAAAGCGTGGTTACATTTGTAGTATCTACAGGGTAGCATTTTAAGGTATGCTGGGAAATGTGGAAAGGTAACATGTGTAGCCAATGCATTGACTGTCATTAGTTACCCAGACAGCCTGGGTGCCTCTTTCAGCTCCCTGACCCACATTTCATCCAGCTCTGCTGTTTTTCTCCTGCAGGGTTATTTCCTGAGGAAAGCCCAGAGCTTAGGATTTGCTCAGCAGAGAGCCCTGTTCTGACCTCCCTTAACAGGCAGTTTCACCTGCTGGGCTAGAGCCTTTCTGCTTCCTAGTCAATCTGTTAAGATTTTAGCAGGAGATTCTTGGATACCTTTTCACAAAACATATGGAAGATTGTAATTACTTTGGCCTGGTACAATTTTAGAATTGAGAGAGCAAGGAAGAGGTGCAAATCTTCTGTTCATAAATAACCAAATCTGTGGGCGCTTTAAAAGGCATCCTAGGCAGCAGAATTTATGTGTCACATTTCACCCTTGGCACACTTTCCAAATGAATTGTTCAAAGAGAAGTTGTATTAGGACAAATAGAAATGACGACCAAGACCAGATGTGGATTTTTAGTTAATATTTATGCAACACCCAAAGGGAAGATGGTATTGCACAATAAACTAAAAATGTCTTAGGAAATAAGGAAATCTTTACCCCAAGGAACTGGCACTGCAGAGGTATGAATTATACAACAAAAGGCTGGGAATGCAGAACAAATGAAGGGTAGGTCGGGGCAACTATAAAAAATAACTCATTGAGGAAGTGGGGAGGTAGCAGATGTGTGGAAACTACTTAGGGAAAATAAGGGCTTAGCACTTTTTTGGCCAGTCTTGTATCTAAGGTAGAAAACTCAAGGCAGCCAGCTTAATTTCCTTCATCTGTGAAGAGCAATAGTAACTTTCAATAGAACATATATATATATGTATATATTTCAGAACTCAAGCAGCAATCTCACAATGGGTAAGTACACCTTAATAAATTAAAAAGGAATGTCCTCAGGTTTGAAATGATCTCCAAGGAGAGTGATGACATCTTTACATCTTTAATCTGATTTCTCCCCAAAGTTGTTTAAGGAAGGTTGAAAATGCAGGCATTGGCTACTTCTGAGCCCTTGGAAAGCGGTGAAAGAGACCAAGGCTTAATGCACTGGAAGAATACTAAGACCCATGTTAAATTATAGAAGGAAAATTTGTTAAAAGCAACTGGATTTCTCATACGCAGCTGGATTTCCAGCCTTTCATTCATCAGGGATGGCAAGATGTGCCACTTTGTGGCATGTCTCATAGTGTCCTGTGCTTCTAATTCAGAGGAACTGGAGATGGGGAGAGAAGAAAAGGAGGGGGCGAGGGAGGAGTATAGAAAATGTTCCTTTAAAGCTGTTGGAGTCTTGAAAATGGAGACAGCTCTGGGAAATGCTTACAAGCTTTTAGCAGGCTGAACCCAAAGCTCTTATACTTCCATTCCTCTGAGTCCTCTTAATTATTGAACAGGGTTGTCTGTGACTTCCTACCTCTCCCACTTTCCTGCAGAGTCGATGCATTCTTAAGAAATTTTTACCTACTTCCTCCCTCTCTCCTTTGTTAATTTTTCACTAACTCTAACATAGAGAACAAATCAGTTTGCCCTATTCTCTCAAGATTAAAGTTTGTGTATTTTCAGTCGTTATGGTTTCTGCTGAACATATTTATTTGTTTATTTATTGTCATTTTTTTTCCCTTTTAACTGTCCAGGTATTTATAGGTGCTGGGCATCACATGGGAAACAAGACTGATAAGGTCCCTGGCCTCTTGGAGCTGCTCTTCTGGTGGTGATTCTGATACTGACACCTACGATGAAGAAATTAAATGCAGGCAGATGGGATAGGGATCGCTGGAGGAGAGGCTACCTCCTCAAGTGTGGGCTGGAAAAGCCTTTCTAGGCGATGACATTTGAACCAAGACTTGAATGCTGAGAAGGTCTGGGTAGAAGGCATTCCATGTGGGAGAAAGAAAAGTGTAAATTCCAGAGGAACAGGATGTCTGTGTGGCTGGGGTACCAGAGCACAGTGAGATGGGGAGATTCACGAAGCCAGATGGAGGCTTGGCTGGTCGTGGTAAGGATTTGGGTTTTATTTTATGTATAACAAGAAGTCACTGAACATTTCCCCCCTCCCCCAAGCAGGAGTTCATAGGGTTTCAGAAAGTTATAACTGAGGAGGGGTGGAAATTACAGTAGAAGCAAGGAGACCACTTGGAAAGCTTCTGCATTAGTCCATGATGGGAACATGGGTAGCTTGGATGAGGACTGCAGCAGTGTGGATGTGATGAGATGTGTTTTGGAGGTAAACATATAGGTTATAATTGACAGCCTAAAGGATAAGAGGAAGTTGGAAAGAATGAAAGTGAAGGTGTTAGTCACTCAGTGGTGTCCAACTCTTTGCAAGTCTATGAGCTGTAGTCCGCCAGGCTCCACTAGCTTATGGAATTCTCCAGGCAAGAATGCTAGAGTGAGTAAGCCATTTCCTTCTCCAGGGAATCTTCCTGACCCAGGGATGGAACCCAGGTCTTCTGCACTGAAGGAAGATTCTTTACCATCTGAGACACCAGGGAACCCTGGAGAGAGTAATAATAATAATAATAATAGTTACCACTTCTATTGCATTTAGGTAATAAGTGCTTTACACATGTTGACTACTTTCATCTTCATAATTATGTGCCCAGAGATAGGTATTATTATCAACACTGTTTTTCATAGGTGAGAAAACTGAGGAACAAAGAGGTTAAGTGATTGGCTAAAGGTTACCCAGATGGGAAGCACTAGAGTAGGGACTCACACTCAGGCATCTGATTCTAGAGAAGCTTGATCTTCTTCCAGAGTCCTAGGATCCAGTATCAACAGGTAAGTGCAGTGTAGAGACAGAGAGGACTTTTGATGGGCCGAACTTTTTGACAGTGGGCAGAGGTTATGAGGTTAAAAATAAAATAAAAAAGTAAAGATCAGTCTCTACTTTTAAAGATACAATTCCCTCTTATATGCGTTTACGTATGTTTTTCCCAGGGCACAAAAATGGGCCCATCGTGCATGGCACAATATAATGAATATTCATGGTTTCATCTGTGTCTACATCGATTTCCTTGTGAACTCGGGAAAAGATGGAGCTTTGTTTTGCAGACACCCAAACCACGGAACTTGATTTTCAGGCCACTGCCAGACGTCCTGGGGACGGGGGAGGGGGGCTGATCAATTTCTCGGCGCGCCGTTTTGGAGAACTTGCTGGTTAGGTGCTGGCTAGGTTTGGGGGCGGGGGGAGAGGGGAAGTCGGCCTCTCCGGGTCAGTTTTTTACGCTCTGCGGCTGCTAAGCAGCAGGCGGCGCTGCAGCAGTGTACTTCGTGGTCTAGGGGAGCCGCTCATCCAGCCGGAAAGGCCGAGTCGAGAAGAGGTGTGGCAGGCAGCCCGCCGTCCTCTTCGGTCTTGCAACTTTAGTACCCAGAGCTCGCTCTACACAGACCATTCTTCTACACAATATTTCATCATGTTGGATGCCTTCCATCCAGTCCTGCATCCGGGCGGAAAGGAGAGGGCATTAGCTTCCCGTCTTTCTAGGTTTACGGACAGCGCTGTACGGGGTTGTTAAGACGTCTCTCTGTGTTCTGACAGTTCCCTGGAAACCACGAAAAGCCGCCGCAGCCGCGGGTACGCCTGTGTGCGTGCTAATCTTTTTGTCCTCTGTTGGGGCCCCTTCTTTTTAAGCTAACTGCGGGAATATTTCCCTCCCCACCCGTCTCTCCATTGACATTCGGGACAAAGGTCGGCCCGGAGCTGCAATCTCTCCCTCCTAAGACGCCCCCTCAAACTGGTCCAACCCCCCTACCCACCCCATTTCGGCTCACAGTGAGGGTGTCTGACGCGTCGCGTGTGTGTTCGTGGCGACCAAGTCTGCAGCACTAGCCAAACCTGTTCTGCCTCTCCCGGTCCCCAGAAGTCTCTCCAGCTGACCGGACTTAGGCCTGGCATCACTTGGCACACGCAGCAGCGCCGGGGTTGAGGTCCAGCTGGTGCCAGGCGCCGCCAGGCAGCAGCGGAGCGAGCGACCGCGTCCTGCCGGTCTCATTTCTCCTTTAGCTCCTGCGCCCAGGGCGCACTCCAGCTAGCTCTCTGGGCAGTTTTCCAGCCGTCGACCCTGGGTTCCCGCGGCTTCCCAGAGTGAAATCGAAGGTGAACGGAACAGGGGGAGGCCGGGAGGTGGGAAGGCGGAGCCTCCCGCCCGGGAGAGTGGGAGGAGCCTCCAGCCCAGGGGGTAACGTGGGCGGGACCTTAGGGGCGGATCTGGGTGGGGAAAGGGGCTGGGCGACCCGGGGATGGAGGGTTGGCCACGCAGGCGCGGGGGCCAGCGCCGCGAACCCCACGCGGGAGCTTCTGGAGGCTCCAGCCGCCGCTTCTCACTTCACCGGAGAAGGGGCTAGGGCCGGGAGGGGCGCTAATAAAGAGTGAATGAGCTGCAGCCGCTGTGGCGGCCGGAGTCTGCCCGAGCGGCACAGGAGCCGTGCGCCCGGGAGGCGGCGAGGGGAGGCGGTTTGCCTTGTCCGTCCCTGCCGCCCTTCTCGCTCTCTCTTCCTCCAGCTGGTCCCAGAGCCCGGCTCGGTCCGGTCCCTCTGCCCCCACCCCGCACTCTCCCACCTTCTCCGAGTCCCACTCCGCACCTAGGGCGCCCCGCACTGCCATGGGTTAGGGTGGCGGCTAGGAGCCGCGCGAAGGACCAGCCTTGTGCATCTGCCGGGGGACGCGGAACCCGAACGCCGCTCGCCGCTCGCCGGCGCAGGGCATGGGGAGCGCGGTGTGAGCCCGCACCCGGGGAGGACGCAGGAGCTGCGGAGACGGGCGAGGAGGAGAAGGAGAGCGGTGGATTGGAAGGACCCGAGGGAGGAAGGAAGGGTGGGGAAGAGAGGGAAAAGTGAAGCTGGGAGGAGAAAGCGGCGGAAGGTGGGGATTGATGCTTCTGTTTTTTGTTGCCGCTGCTGCCCTCGCGCTGGGAGCCGAGCCGGAGGGAAGGCGGTGGAGAGATGATTGCAGAGTTGGTGAGCAGCGCTCTGGGGCTCGCCTTGTATCTCAACACCCTGAGTGCGGATTTCTGCTATGATGACAGGTAAGGGGGTGAGAGGAAGGGGTGACGGGCTGCCTGGGGACTCCGCGGTGGCTTTGAAGCTTCCCGCTTTAAGGCTGGAAGTGCATCTTGGAGGGACTATTCCTGCACCTGAAGGCTTAGGAGACCCATAAGCATCAGAACCTAAAGCAAACATTCGGGACGCGGGCGCTCAGGGCGGGCTGAGGGAGTTTGGGTTCTTACTTTGCAGCAGGTTCCTCTTCCTTGCTTCTAGACTGTTGGCAGACGCTTAAGTTTCTTAGCGGAAGTCACAGCAATTTGGGAAACTGTTTAATGAAAGCATTAAAAACAATTCTTAGGTATTCCTTGGTGCAACAAAAGCACATTGAGCGATTTTATGTCTGGGCTGGAAGGAAGCTGCTCCCTGCCCTCTAATAGATCTTCCCTGTAACGTTTCCTTTTATTGATGGGACACTTTTATTTCCCGAGGTTAAAACACACATTTGACAGTTGCCAAAATAGTGGGGAGATCGCCCTGTTTCCACTTTGCCTTTTGACGCGTGGGGTGTACATTACTTTGCGCCAGGGCAGTGCTGCTGCCCCGCCTCCCTCACAAATCGATGGAGTATTACTTTATAAAAGCCTGGGCCTTCATTTCTGTTTGGGAGTTTTACTTTAGACGTTAGCGACTTTTTTTGTGCTAATTGGGGGAAGAAGACGCCCCTAGAGACTGAAGTTGTCTTCTGCATTTGGGTTAGTTTGGGTGGCTAATGAGACCTGAACTGTGTTGTCAAAGAAACTGCATCGATTTCTGGGAAATGTCACAGTTGTGCTCGTGTCTCTACCTATTTTTTTAAACGTTGTTAGTGTTTAGAAACTGATGAAAAGCTCCATTAGGGGAAATTCCAATTTGTGCCTTTCCGGTGACTTAATCTGATTACAATTAAAACAAATGCATAATTAAAATATATTAGGGAGAACAGCACGCTTGGCTAAACTTATTAACCGTCCTGGGGTGTTTCATGCTCCATTGAAGTTAAACCATCCAAAAAGTGAGCACAGATTTACATTGACAGCTTTTCAGCAGCCTCTCTGGGCTATGGAAAGTGAATGGATCCCCAGGGCCAGGGCAGGGCAGTGAGTGAACTTAAGCAAAGTGGTTGATAGGGAAGTTGAAGGCAGAATCTTCTCTTGATGGTGATTAGCCAGATACTATATCCTCTAGTGTACCCCCCTCCCACTTAGAAGCGTGTTCATGGTTGTATGACTTAAGTCACCAAATCTTGGTTCACACCCACGTCTGTTATGAAATCCCCTGGTAATAGATGCAAGAACATACAGTAGACCCTTCTCTGTGCCTTTTATGTAAGTGTCTATCAGATACTAGTTGATAGAAAGCTACTGTTAGACATAAACTTTTCCTTAACTTTCAAGCAATGTACATACGGTCTTTAGCCATTATGTTGCAAGCTCTGAGGAATAAATGGTCTGTGTGTAAGAGTGATATGACCTGCTTCTGTTCCCTCCAATTTTGTGTTACTATGCACCTGCTATTTCTAGAGTACTGGCAGAAAACACTCTTGCTTTCCAGAGTTGGGGGACTTTTCACTCAAGTGAGCTCAGGGGAGAATCTGGGCTGTTACTGGTACTGTTGGGGACAGTTTGAAGAGTAAGTATTTAAGCCAATAATTAAGAGCTTATGTAAAAAAGTAACTTACTGTAATACTGTAACTACTGTAGAACATTGATAAATCAAGCATCACTGGCGTGGCTACTCTTTATTGCTGTCCAATTCTTTAAAAAGTACATGTCAGAAAAATCTATCCAATAAAGATTAAGGCTGGAACTAGACTACATTTGAATGTACTTTTCTCTGTAGACTTTAAGTTTATTTTGTATTCTTGAATCCTCAGTCAGTGGTGTTAGTATTGTAACTTGGGCAGAGTGTAAGTATGGTGATAAATTAGTTGTAATTTGATAGTTGGCAATTGTTGTAAGCTTTTTACCTGCTATAGATTGAATGGAGTGTCAAAATTCCTGACATACCTAGCTGCATAGACGAATTTAATGTGATAATTTGCCCATATCATCTAGTTGATGCATGCCCAATATATGTTATATAGACAATATATACCAATATGATGTTGAAGGCCTGTAAATATGAATTACAGTTAGCTACAATTTGAAAAGTGTATTTGACTCTAGTTTTCCTAGTAGCAGAACTGCATGTGTGATTACATAGTCTTCAGAGTATGAAGTCTTACAAGTATCACTTGGTTTTTATGAATCCTAGAAATTATGAAGTACGTATTAATAGGGGCGTGGAACTTGGTGTCTGCATAGCATGTTCAGGTAATTCAGTGCCAAGGTGAACTGTAGATTGTGACTTTACAGGTAGACTTTCTGACCACTGTTCTAACTCAGTAGTGTGAGAAGAGGGAAAAAGGCTGGGAGTGGCAAGTGGAAATTGTAGGAGGATGGTAATGTGTTTATTTCCACAACTCCATTTCAGACTACAAGGACTCAGGTGTGAAACTTGTTTAAACTACATCTGTGGTTTCTGCTGCTTCCCTGCTTTCCCACCCCTCCCAAGAACTTTAGTGAAATATGGTTTCAAAGGAGAGAGCAGAACTGGGAGGGAGAGAGCAGCTCAAGGAGAGAGATGACTTTTATGCTAGACTTACTTAGTGAAATCAAGACTCTGCATTTTAGCTGACGAATCTGGCATTTACTGTAGGAGGGCTTTCTATTGCTTCAGCTTAAACGTTATTGCTGTGGTACTTCTCCAAGTTATCATTTCTTTTAAATATAGTGATCAAGTTTACTTTATAAACTATATATGTAATTACATTCAGTGTTTGATGTAGCTTGGTTGAGATTAAGTGGTAATCTGAAACCTTCTTTTAGCAAAAGCAATTTCCCTATGGTAAAATTTAATATTTTACAAGTGTTTCTGTGCTAAAGTTAAGAATATGGCTCTGATGTGATGAAACAAACAGTAGAAGAGTGGAATTCACCATATCTGATGAAAAAGCATATATGGTTTCAGCTTCTTCCCCCTCTCCCCTTGCCCTCAATCTAGTAATAACTGTATTGAATCTTAATTTGTGGTTAGAGTAAAATTGAAATTATAAATATACAGTCGTTGCTAAATTTTAAGTCATGTTGCATGTGACTTCTTGAAGGACCATTTCATTTTCCGGAGAAATTTAATGTTAGGCTAGTGGAGAAAACTTGCTGACCCCAAATTCTCTGCTCTCTGACATATTTGTTGAGGGTAACATTGTGTCACTTTCCCTTCATCCTCTTTAAAAGTTCTGTTATATTTTGCATAGAGATAACACCAACAAAGGAGTCAGTTTACTTCAAAGCAACAAAAGGAAACTATAATTGCTGTTTCCTACTCTGATTTCATTTTGCACATATCTTCTAATTGATGGCATGCTTTTTATAGTAGATAACAAGTAAATAAGTTAATGCCGCAAATTTATCTTTTTATTCTAATGTGAGTAAAATAAGACATTAGTTTAAAAAGATAATTTTGCATTTCTGTAAGTAGGAAATGGGCTTGTGGCTGCTTTGAAAAAAATTTTCCTTATTGCTCATTCTGCAGTTGTTAAACTCAACCATGATCATGAACATTATCTTTGGGTTTCTTAGTTACTGGTATGCAGTAATTGTGTAAAACTTGGTGAAGCAACTCCACAACGGGAATTTCTTCTCTTGAAATCAAAACCACCCCAGATTCTCAATAGCACATTCCTAGTTTAGTTATTCATTTAGGTGTAAATGTAAATCTCAGTTTTTAAAAAGACTCATTTTTTTTCCCCCTGAATGTCATAGAGTTTCATTAGCAGTATTTAAACGAAGAAATAGAAGATTGAAAGTATACACACTTTTTTTTAAAATATTTTTTTTCTAAAGATATTAAACTGTATTTTCTACTTGATCTTTTAATGTTATTATCAGTTTGGGCTTTTGACCTGGTATAAGAATTTCTTGTGAACTGACCAGTTCCTCTAACTTCTCTGTTTAGAGTTCTCTCTAATAAATTTGCCTTGGACCAATCTGGGTTTGTTATCTTAAAGCTGTAGTATATTCAAGCATTGAAGATGTGTCTGGCATTTAGTAAATGAATGTTTAGGAAGAATTACTATAAAATCAAATTAAATAAGAGAGAAGTTTGCTTTGTATCTAAGGTTGTCTCTTCAGGTCTTTACTGGAAGAAGCCAGTGTGTACAAGAGTGTTATTTCATGCTGTTTCTTTCCCAGTTGAAAATGTATGGAAAAAAAAAAAAAAAAAGGCCAGTGGATACAATTTACAGTTTATAAAATGTTTTATAGGACATTTTATTTTTTAGCTAAGTTTTGACTGTTTAATCAAATCTATGTAGAGAAAGTCATTTTGCTGTTTGAACAAGTACATCTCTTAACAGTAAATTAAACTTAAGTGAAGCCAGTATGGTTGCTTTGCCTTACCTCTGTTGAGCTTGTCACATGGGGTTTATCCTAGCAAATGACCCAAATACAAGCACTGAACGGACATGCACAAATGCCATAGGGAAATTTCTTGCCAGCCATCTGTCTCTTGTTGTTTTCATATATAAATGTACTATATTGGCCGGGGAGGGGAGGATTGTCTGTGTTATTGCATATTATTAGTTTACATCATATTGTCATCTGCACTTAGTTTTTCAGAGCTAATGTACCCTGTAGTAATAGAATTCCCTGCTGCTATAATTCTGAAAGAGCTTCAGCCTTTTGGATTCCAACATGAGTTAAGAGCAGTTTGTCCTCCTAATCTCTTTGTTGCTGTTCCGCATGCTAAAAGCACCTATTTAAAATGCCCTTGATGGTGCAGCTGTTTATCAGAGGTGAAGGGTATGTTTTGTCTAAACCTGGCACCGTCAAAATACTAGGAAAGGACAAAGTTTACCCTTAAGGCCCTCTGGTAAATCTGTGGCTGACAAACCTACTTTCTTATAACTTCGTTATTCTCACCTAACATGCTTTTAACACACTAATATTCATCTCTTAAGTTT